AAAAATAAGTTGCAACCTTGTTGTGTCATCTGTTTAAAAATTCATAACTCCTAAACCAGCCGACCGAGAAAAATGAAACTTTTGCACTCGTTAGCGGACACTTCACCCCAAAGCCTGCAGGAGTTACAAAGAAAAGGGCAGCGTCATCCTGATTTTTCACCCCCGAGTCTATGTTGATCGCAAAAGTACATTTTGTCCTTTTTGTGTCAACTGCTTTAAGAATTCCTAACTCCCAAACCAGAACTCCTAGAACAATGAAACTTTCACACTATTTAGACGACACGTCACGGAAAACACAGGAGAAGTTTCACTAAAATCACTAAATAGGCCAATTTTTTACAGCTCAGTGAATGCAGGCTTCAAAAATAAGTTGCAACCTTGTTGTGACATCTGTTTAAAAATTCGTAACTCCCAAACCAGCCAACCGAGAAAAATGACACTTTTGCACTCGTTAGCAGACACTTCACCCCAAAGCCTGCAGGAGTTACAAAGAAAAGGGCAGCGCCATCCCCATTTTTCACCCCCGAGTCTATGTTGGTTGCAAAAGTACGTTTCGCCCTTTTTGTGTCAAGTGCTATAAAAGTTCCTAACTCCCAAAGCAGAACACCTGAAGCAATGAAACTTTCACACTATTTAGAAGACACGTCACTGAAACCACCGGCGAAGTTTCACTAAAATCACTCAATGCGCCAATTTTTTACAGCTCAGTCAATGCAGGTTTCAAAAACAAGTTGCGACCTTGTTGTGTCATCTGTTTAAAAATTCATAACTCCCAAAGCAACCAACCTCGAAAAGTGAAACTTTCGCACTAGTTAGAAGACACTTTACTCCAAAGCCCGCAGGAGTTACAAAGAAAAAGGCAGCGTCATCCTGATTTTTCACCCCCGAGTATATGTTGATCGCAAAAGTACATTTTGTCCTTTTTGTGTCAACTGCTTTAAAAATTTCTAACTCCGAAACAAGAAGTCCTAGAACAATGAAACTTTCGCACGATTTAGAAGACACTTGACTGAAACCACCGGGGAAGTTTCACTGAAATCACTCAATACACCAATTTTTTACAGCTCAGTCAATGCAGATTGCAAAAATAAGTTGCAACCTTGTTG